TGGCTGGTTGGTTTATTTATACCATATCATCCTAGCCTGCTCTGATTTAAAAATATTCTTTGGAACGGCTAGAAAGATTTGATAGTAAGTAAAGTTCAAGAAATAACCTTACCAACTGCATCCTGCATCCTGGGGGCTTAGTTTGGGTTTATGATTGTACATTTATGTAGTAACTCTGTAGATATAGGCACACCGAAAATAGGATGTGCCTGTATTTCAGGGTTAATAAATTCCAGAGATGCCTATAAGGGATTCCCAAAAATGGCATCTGTAAGCAGCTTTGGCGAAATTCATCACAGTTCCATCCAGAGGAGAGTTGCAATCCATGGAGGGGATTTATGATGGGTGCTGTGCCCTGGGGTCATGTGGTCACCTTTTGTGACTTTTTGACAAGCAAAGTCAATGGGGAAGCCAGATTCACTTAACAACCATGCTACTAACTTAACAACTGCAGTGATTCACTTAACAATTGTAGCAAAAAAAGATTGTAAAGTGGGGGCAAGAATCAATGGTTCTCTTAGCAACAGAAATTTTGAGCTCAAATGTGGTCGTATGTTGAGGATTACCTGTAAATAGGTGACCTAAATATGATATATGTTGGGTTTAATTTCTTTTATGCTTCAATGTTATGTACTTACAGAAGTGACCCAAAGTAATGGCACCCCTCCATGTTTTCTTAAAGAATCCCAATGTGTCATGAAATAAGTTGAACATGTCCCAATTACATGACCTCCACCATTCTTTGTTCCACAATCCATAGAGCAGGTATTTGCTTTTGATGTATCGCTTAACATATTCTTGTTAAACTTGATTGCTGCTCTTTTATGTATACCATCTTAAACAAATGTTAAGCTGTGTTATGTACCCTGAAAGTACAGCAATAACAGAGGTGTAAAATGCTTCATTTTAAAACTTCAGCATAATAGGGTAGTCTTCAGATTTAGGAATTTAAAAATACATAATCAGTTATTTTAAAATACAAGATAGCTTTGTTTAAATTACTTCAAATAGATCAAAGGGGCTGACAACAATATCTAAATTATGTTTTGGAGTGAATTTATCTAAAGATAATTATCATCTGTTCTTTGTAGTTGGCTGTGATTATAACCTCTGGAAAAGTATTTTTTGTGGCTGGGAGTGTTTTTTTCAAACTTTTAAAGCTTACCTTTTGGGTTACTCAGCTACATGCAGATTGTTTATTTTTGCATCAAGTTTGTGTCTATAAATGTATGCAGAGATCTCTATGATGAATGTTAACTTGGTCAAAAATCATTGATTGGCTTGAAAGGATATTGGAAACTCTTCAGAGAAGAATGTTCTCATAATTACTAAAGCCAGCTCAGGATGAAAAAAAGTAAATTACATCGGCAGGATTTGGCTTTTAAGATGCATGACAGATTATTCAGTTTGCAGAGATGAGCAGATAAGCAAGAAGGTTACAAAAATTTAGGAAGAATAAAATAGCAATAGCATTTATACACTGCTTCATAGTGCAGCCCTCTCTAAGCCATTTATAGAGTCAGCATATTGCCCATAACAATCTGAGTAAACATTTAGAGAAGAAGCTACAAGGACCAAGTGGCTTCAGTTATAGAACATTCCAAGCTCGAATATGATTTATTTGTTTTGGTGAAGCATGTGTATTATTGAAATGCTAATTATAAAGAAAAAAAGTGTGCTAACACAAATATGGTTCATTTGTTTGATTGGTTTGACTTGCTCTGTTGCATGAATCCAGCTGTTACAATTTATAACCCATGTGGTTGACTTTAACATGTTGCATATGCTCTACTAAGCAAATTGTGGCTTATTCAACAAATGGTAGCTTAACAAACCAAGTCTAACCAAGATACGTGAACCTAATCGTTGAAACTTCCTTCTGATTAATGGTTAATGATGCACACTTTGTAGTAAAAGCACAGAAGCACTCTCTGGCTTTTCAAACATATTTCACATTAATACTAGTATCCCAAGAACATTTTATATGTTTTAAGGTCCACAAACATTGCAGGTAGTTCTTGCTTTACCAACTGTTTGTTCAGTTACCATTCAAAATTACGACGATGCTTAAAAAAAGGTGGCCATTATAGTGATCGTGATTTAAATCAGAGGTGTCAAACTTGCAATGACACATCGTCACATGACGTATTGCAACTTTCCCCCCTTCTCTAAATCAGGAGTGGGTGTGGGCAGTGCAGGAAACATCCGACCTGCGGGCCGCAAATTTGACACCCCTGATTTAGATGTTTGGCAACCAATACGCCTGTAGAATCTTGTGGTCATGTGATCGCCATTTGCAATATTCACAGCTGCTTTCCAACAAGCAAATTCGATGGGGAAGCTAGCAGAAAGTTGCAAGTCACTGTCATGTGATGTGGTAGGATGCTGCTGGTTCGGACCTCTTCTGGCAAACTGATGGTTCCAATCATCAGCTTCCCCCCACCCCACTCCCACCCTATCCTGTCATTTATTTCCTTCTTTCTGGCTCATTTGATTCACGCGGCTCAGCTGATTTCCACGCCTCAGCTGTTCTACTTACCGTGGTTGCCCTAGAAGGTAAGCATTTGAGGTTCGAACTGCTGTGAATGCTGTGCGTGCACGAACCACACAAGCGCACGTGAAGCGTGCGCTTACAGAACCAATTGTTAAACCGGTTGCAGCCCCCTACTGGTCATGTGATATCACACTTAATGACTGTGCTACTTAATAATAGAATTGCCGGCTTCTTGTTTTGTATGGTAAGTGAGGACTACCCGTGATCAGATTGAAAGACTTCATTGCCAGCCCAGGAATGTAAACCAAGATATTGTAGGACTACAGTAGTTTGTCACAGTCAGAAAGTTTATTTCAGCTTCAAAGAATGCTCATCTTCCACTTCTGTTCCAAAAATTACTTTCTAACCCAACATCATGAAAACCCCTTTGATCATGAAAATGCTTCCAAAACACTGACTTTGCTTAACTACTTCACTAAAATGCAGACAAACTTTATAGGGAGCTTCATCAAAAGGAAACATTACAACTTAACCCTTTGCATGCTTCTGCCCTCTGGCTACAGCTGCAGAAAAAAAAAATGCTCGAGAAAATACGATTTCTTTTTTATACTTTGGGGCTGAATCTACTTGCTAAATTCTGCTAAATTTCGATTAATGCATGTTTATTATTAACTGTGGAATTTGTTTTTGAGTGTTGCCAAAAGATATCATGGAAGGGGAAAACATTATTCTGGTGGAGAGAAGAATTATTATGATTTTTAATGCGATTCTGTATATTAATTTAAGGTTGCTTATTCTGAGAATCGGGTTTTCACTTCTGATCATATTCTGTTCCAGAATATAAAACTTTTCCATTACAAAAAAAAAAGAAGTACAATATGGGTGGGGGGTATTTTCACTCTTTAAGTTTTAGGTTATGAACCTGAAATATTATATGCTGAACTAATACAGAATTGCATTATTGTGTTTGCACAGAAATGAATGAGATTCTGTTATTCTTTTTTCCTCCTCTCGAATAATATTTTGAAAGAGTCTGATGTACTTTAGCAAAATTTCAAAGGGGATATGAGTTGCATTTTTAAGGAAACAGGATCCATTGTGGCAAGATTTGTGCTAGTTAGGAATTTTGTTTTTCTTTCTTACTTTCATGATACACTAGTAAACAACAGGAGCAAGGAAAGTCTCTTCAGACATGAGAGGGAGGGAAAGCAGCCAACTGCCTTTTCTTCATTGCTGGTTCACATAACATTGGACTATGGTTGGCTATTCTGCCTAAACAAGGTCTACATCAAAGCTTATTCTTTTTTCTCCTAAAACTTGAATTACATTATTTTTAAAAGCTGAAATTAAAATTAAACTGAAATGCTACAGAGCTGTGGTGGCACAGTGGTTAGAATGCAATATTGCAGGCTAATTCTGCCGACTGCCAGCAGTTCAATTGTCACAGCTCAAGGCTGACTCAGCCTTCCATCCTTCTGAGGTGGGTAAAATGAGGACCCAGATTGTTGGGAGCAATATGCTGACTCGGCAAACCACTTAGAAAGGACTGTAAAACACTATGGAGTGTGGTATATAAGTCGAAGTGCTATTGTTACTGTGTTTCTTCTCTAGCATTCCAGTTTAATTTCAATTTTGGGACATCATGGCTTGAAAGGCTAAAATCACGTAATACTGTAACCGTAGCAAATTAGTCATTGCAGCCTTTTAAACTACTTTGTGTTGCATGACCCCTTGTTCTTGGATTGCCTTATTATCATTCCTGCTAACATTATTTTGATTTTTATCCCACTTTAGGAGCTCAAGGTGAATTTTCATGGGCATCTTAGCATCAATTGATACTGCACCTTTCCAATTCCAGACAACCATCTTAACGGTTGGCTTTTTAATTATGGCTAACTTATGAATTGTAGAATAAGCCATAAATAGCCTTGTTCAGGAAAAATACTAAAGCATAAATCATAGTTTACAAGCAACAATGGTTAAGTACACATACAGTATCACACAAGCCAACACCAAAAGACAAAACAAAAAATCCCAATCCATAAACTGCTTTAATCCAATGTATTAAAAATGCAATTATTTTAATTATCAGTTAATCAATTGTGTCCCACAATTGATAAAATATTCTACTAAAATTACTAAATGAATAGCTGTGTTAATCTTATACAGCAGAAACTGTCAAGGGTTTTATGGCATCTTAATGACAGATTAGTTTGTTGTCTTAAGCTTTTGTGTACTTAAAGTCTCTAAGATGCCCAAAGGTTCCTTATTATTTTTCTATGTCATTGCAAACCCTCCTAGTAAGTTAATGACATATAAGGTATTCTCTTTTTACATGGGTCCCAGTTTGCTTATTTTTGTGTGTCAGAAAAACATATTGAATACTCAGTGTCTGTGTAAGTCTGCAGGAATGTAGCAAGTTGATAAAATCCCATCCAAGTTCACCCTCCTTTCAGGAATTTTTAAAAACAGCTTGAATTGCTTTTTATGGAAATTTGTTTTGCAGCTTTCTACATCTTAAGGCAGAGAATAGCCAGGATAAGGTGCCAACCCAAAGGTTAGCTGAACATATTTCTTAAAATAATTTTGGCACAACGGTATTTTGGAGCTGTAACTGATAATTTGGGGAAATAGCATTTTATGTAAACTCAGAAGAAATATGTATTTGTTTTATTTATTATTTTAAGGTAATGACACAGTTTTTTTTAAAGCATTCCCATACAGTGGATGATTTCCTAACTAATATAAATCAATTGTGGCATCATTTTCAGTTTTATAGATAAGAAATCAGGAAAGTGTGTTTTACATTGTTTATCAATTAACAATTTTGAACAATGATCTACTGTAACATAGTCATTTATTTCAATGTTACTATGTGCAAACGCCTATAGGAATCTCTGTCAGAAATAATAACCAAGCTAGCAATGTTGTATATGCTTACCTGGAAATACCGTAAAACTTCCGTATGAACAAATCTTGTTAGGAATGCACTGCAATCCCATGTATGTTTCCTTAGAAATATTGTATCTGGCTGGTCCCGTCTAGGTGTCCAAAGTCCACAGAAGAACATAGCATATGTGGTGTCCTGCTGGATGGTACCATTGGTCCAACTAGTAGAACAGACTCTTCCAAAGAGTCTGCCTGCAGTTGGCCTTCAGTGGCAGTTACACTGCCATCAAGCTAATAGCTATTGATCCTCATAACATCTGCAACTGCCCAGTAACATACAACAGCTATGCTCAACCAGCAGCTTTCCAGATCTATTAGGATTGAACTGCTAGGAGTTGCAGTCTCAACACATCTAGAAAGTGCCACAGTGAGAAAACCCAGTGCACATAAAATTAATCTAGCTGCCCTGTGCCTTGATTTATGTCGTACAGGTATATAACTCAAGACAAGATCCTCTGCTGTGGAATCTAAAATATATTTAGTATATTTTACTAAATATAGAATTCAGAATATTTCTAATTACAATAACTCTTTAAGAGTTCCTAAGCAAATGCCTATTTTGGCATTTACCTCATTAAAGATTTACTTCTCAACAAGTTTGCTTCAGATTAAGGTGTCCAACAGATTTGATGTCTGGGTTATATTCCTCTGAAAGATTCTTTATACTATTCTTTTTAATACATCCAAGTGAATCTTGGAATTTGGCTTACAAGCATACAACTTGCTTTTCTATGTATAGAATAGTATAGAATAGGATTGCTACCACCAAGGATGCCATTTGAACTGAATGTAGGAGAAAAATACCCAGTATTTTCCAGGACAAGAGACTGCCTATGGGTGGAATCAGTCCCTACACTTTTACCTATATAGGATGCTGCTATAATAATCATTCTTTAAAAATTACATTGACTTTTCATAAAGAAGTTGAGATGAAGATTCTCTACATGGATAATGTTGTTCCTTTATGGGATATGTTGGTAATTTTGAGATTTCTCCCAATCTTTTTCTTGTTGCAGAGGATAGGAACTCTAGAATGGACTTCAGCCCAGGGCTTCTCTGGGCTAAAGTCCATGCCCAGATATTTCAAGAGAAAATTAGGTTTTAAGTTATCTGGATAATACCAATTCTCAGGCCAAAATTATGGGTGGCTTTGTTTCCAAAACAGTGTCAACCACCCTTGTGGCAACTTGTTTGCTTGCCATAGTATTTGAGAATCTGCTTCAAACATTACTGTCTGAATAATTCCACTGAACTTTCTGGAGACATTCCAACATTAGGTACTACACTAAGGAATGTTCGTCATATATTATCTTGATTTACAATATAGATGTACTATTACATGAAAAATCCAAGTAGCTTAACTTCTGGGCATTGGAGTTATTTTTGTCCATGAATGCAATGAAAATAACACTTTCAAAATGTAAAGCACTGCATTATTTGCAGTGACTGGTTCATACACAGTTCTAATCTAAAGTAGCAGTGATTTAACCAGTTGAAAATCTCTCTGGAATTCTAATGCCTGCTATATTTAAAATAGACAGAATATTATTTTCCCTGCATTTGTTACTGTCATTCTAAGACGATAGAAGAAAAGATTGCATATTGAACTGCTCAAAGATTAAAAACCACCTACCTACAGTAAAGATTTCTGAAAGCTTATTAACAAACTGTGAACATGCACTTCTAGCCGTTGTAATTTTGGGATAATAAACATATCTGGAATAAAGAATATCCTTTATAAGGTCATACATTCCATTTAAAATTTGATCAATAAAACAAATTATTAATGATTATATTAGTATTTCTTGTCAGCAAGCAAAGATTATCAGGTAGTTCCATAATTAGAAAGAACATTTAATTTCCAGAGGTCAGACCTTGCTGTAAGTTGCTCCCACAGTACAGTAGTCCTTTAATCTGGAGATACGATTCTTCATACAGTCATATTTAGAGAGTATTTAAATAAAGTCATTGTCAATCCACAACATTCTATTTTTTTCTCTTGTTTGTATCATTCATATATATATATATATATATGAATATATATATATATATTCAAATATATATATATTATTCAGCTTTGTTCAGGTATTTTCCCACGTTATTCTGGTTGTGCTTTTAAAGTTGTAGCAACGTTTTGGCAGAATCTCTTCTGCCATCATCAGGCTTCTGTAT